TCTCCCCCATCCCTCGTCTTCATCTCTCCTTTCACTCCTCCCTCCCTCCGCCCCTCTCGCCCAGCACCCTGCTCCACGAATTACGTGGTAGGAGACCCAGCTCGACAAAACAAGGGAACTCCCTCCAATCCTTTTTAGGAGACCCAGCTTGACAAACACGGGAAAATCACTCAAACCCTTTCTTCATGAGTCTACAGTCAACCCGCATTGTAAGGGTGGGCACATTTCCCAAGGGTACCGTTGCATCCTTGCCTCCTCGGCCCATCCGCAACCACTTTCGTTGACCGCACCCCGCTCGAGAAGCTTCGAAATGGGCGTCAAAGACGCTTGCATCCTTGTCGGGCATCCTTCTGATACGGACCGAATGTAACCCCCCCTGCCGTTTCCTCCTGTTCCAGGCTTTGGCGTGCCCGCGAGTACGTTTCCGTTTTCCCCATCCCTCGTTGTCCGGTCTATTTGATCTCTCCCTTGCTTTCGGTTCTCTTGTGTATCCCGTAGCACGTCCTCCTCGTTTCTCCCCTCCTCCCTCCTCCCCGCTGCCTCATGTTCCTTCTTCCCTCTTCATATGTTATCCTTCACGCCGCCCTCCCTCCGCCGCGGCAACCAATTTGGCCGAGGCGCTACCTCCCGTCCCCAGCATCCTGCCCCACTATGTGGTAGGAAACCCCACAATAAGAAAGGGAAATCCCTGAAATCCCGTTTGCTTTCAAGGTCGATCCCGTTCGACATTTCGAGCCCAGACGCCAAGGGCCCCAGGGAGGCCCGGAGGCGCGCTGAAGAAGTCCGAAGAGGCCACCAGGAGACCCCCAACAAAAACCGAAGAGACCCCATCCCCCAGAAGCCCCACGAGCCCTCCAAGAACGTTCCCCACAGGCACCCAAATGCACCCCCAGCATGGTTTTGCCAGGCTGTCAGGGGCTCTGGCATCCCCGCGTACAGTGCCGTTGTTTTATTCATGCTCCGCGTGCGGACCACGTATTAAACATACAGGGCTGTTTAATACATGCAAGGATGAGCTCATGCATTCGTTTATGCATAAATTAATCGTGTATGGAAAATCCTGTATAAATAAAGAAATCCCATGTGTTAAAACCTGCCCTGTAAGTTGCCCTGGGTCCTCCACGTGGCTGCCACTGCGCGCGTTCCTGGGGCCGCCCGGGGCGCTTGCCGGACAACAGCTGGGGGGGGGGGAGTCGCCCTGCACGCATATTCGTGGCGCGAAGTCCTATGTCGGGCGTGTCAGGGGGATTTTCGGCGAAAAATAAAACATACCCCAAGAATGCCCCAGAAAGGCAAACAAATAGTCCAACAACAGGCCCCAGACTATCTTGGGACTATGTTCTGATCATGTCTGGAGTATCTTGTATGTCTCGTCGAACATCCCCCTTGTAGGGGGACAGGCCCGACTTCAGCGAAGTCCGCTGGACGTCGCCTTCATTAGAAGAGTGAGTCGCGTCGTCCGTCTGGTACCGTAAGCCGTGCAACATCTCATCGCTCCCTTGCAAGGCACAGCACGGCCCGAGGCATCCCCAAAGCCGCGCCCGATACGACCTCGACTGACCCTGGCAGCCCTTAGATGGTTTGAGCTGCCCCATTCCGAGGCGGGAAATTATACATGACCACCGCCTGGACGGTCAGTTTTCGGAGCCTCGGCAGGCGGTGAATATGGACATATTCGGGCTCCCAGGGGCCGAAATATATCCATGTCCACCGCCCGCTGGGGCACCAGGCCGTCGGTTCCCAGGTGGTGGATATGGATAAATCCTCGCCTCGCACCCATATCATTGGCCCCACAGGGTTACCAAGGGACGTCCCAAACACCTCCGAGGTAGCTCGAGGGACCTTCGAAAAAGCCCAGGAGGGTTCCAAGACCTCTGAAGACGGTCCACACGCCACGAGCCTCATGAGGATTCCCAGAGGTTTTTTCTTGTTCGGGCAATTGCCCGGTGCACCTGCTCCGAGCAGCAGGATCTCTTATACACACACACACACACACGCACAGAGAGCCGCGCCTGGACGGCGCATCGGCAAGAAGACTGGATACGCGAAACACATGTGCATTAGAACGGGATTCGTGCACACGCACCGCCCCTACAGTGCCTCGGTAGCGTACGTTGGAATTCTTACGCACAAGGATCTCTTAGGGCCTGCTTATTCAACGACCTGCTTATTCAGCGACCCCTGAAGCGTCCATCACGACGTGCGTCCCCGTATGGTGATCTCTCCGGGATGATGTCCACTCTGTTCCGATTTTGTGGGGTTGGCTTGGGTTGCCCCAGAACCTAAGCGCGCGAAGCGTGCGCGTGGTTATATTGTATAACTACATATAGAGATATGTATATATACATATATATACACATATATGCATGTGTGCACATGTAGATATACACATGGGTATATATATATATACACATACACTCATACATATATATATATATATAGATGTGTGTGTGTGTGTTTGTGCGGATTGGGGCATCTTGGGGGGGGGGGGGCTCGGGGGCTTCATGCGGGCTGTGACCACGCATGGATCGTCCTGGGCCATCCTGAGACGATGCTGGAAGGCTCGTGGAGGCTTCTTAGGGGCCATCGTGGGGCCGGCATGGGCCTAAAACGCGCTGTTGGGATGCCATGTGGGGGCTCCTCGCCCGCTCTTCGCCCGCTGTGCGGCCCTCTCGGGGATTATTGGGGATCTGGTTGGGACTCTTTTAGGGGATCTATTGGGCCTCCTCCTCCTCCTCCTCCTCCTCCCTCCTCCTCCTCCTCCTCCTCCTCCTCCTCCTCTCCTCCTCCCTCCTCCCTCCTCCCTCCTCCCTCCTCCCTCCTCCTCCCTCCTCCCTCCTCCCTCCTCCCTCCTGCCTCCTCCCTCCTGCCTCCTCCTGAGCCGTCCTCCGCCAACCCTCCCGCCGCTCGCCGCGCAGAGGGTCGGGGGCGGGGCCCCTCGCCGCCCTGCTGCGGCCCTGCCGCCGCCGTGCCGCAGCGCTATCCGCACGGGTAGGGATGCCAACCGCCCAGATCACGAGACGGTGGCTCCTTCCTGTGATTCTGGCCCGTGTTGGAGCCCCCTCTCCCTCTGGGACTTCGCCCCCCGCTCCTGTCCATGGCGTGCCTTGTCCTGTGCAAGTTCTTCGGCACCGCCTGTTCTCTGCACCCTCCGGCCGCCTGAGGCCCCGCCCGCCCGCGCCCTGTCTCCCCAATTAGGGCTACCCGCGCCCCGTTTAGCCCTTGACCGGAAGGGGCCCGCTCCCGACCCGCAGACCAAAAAGTGTTGGAGCCCTCTTGGGGCCACCGCAGGTCAAGACCATAGAAAAGGCATGCGGCTGTGAACGTGGCGCTGGCAATGCTGGAAGCGTATGAGGATGGGTCAGCTGGCCATCTTCGGCCGCGCATGCAGTCACTTGGACTGCCTTGGACCATCTCGGGCCACATTAGGGCTCGCGTGGAGCCATCTCAGGGCCGGCATGGAGCCTACCACGCTTTCATCCGCGTTCTCGGGGGGGGGGGGGCGGCCGCCCACTCTTGGCGGGCTGGCATCCGCTCTTGGTTGGTTGGTGCCTGCTCTTGGGGCGATTCTGGGCCCAGGGGCGCGCGCAGACGCCCAAGGGCCGCCCTCGCGCGCGCGCGGATTACATACACACCGCTACTCCCACTCATGTACATGAGTTGCCAGCGTGAGGGGTTTGAAAAACACGTGACCCGTTGGAATACCACTTGAGCGCTGTTGAGTTGTGAACGCACGCAATGCGTATGATCACAAAAAGATGTCTGCGTTCGCAGACTTGGCCATCACTCTATTTCGTTGCATCTGCAATTTACGTGGCCCAGTAGGCCATACCAGAAGAGTTCCAGGTGCAAAGTATGACCAGCATATACGCAGTCGGATAACGCCATGTCGTTGTCGTTGATTTTAGTTTTGCTTGTGCTCCATCCTGTCGCTATTGTCTGGCCTCGGAATTATACCCCTGCTGTGATTATGACTTGATGTTCTTCGAAAGCAGTATACCGTATACCCCCTGCCCACTGCTTTTGCACGCCATGGCGTCCCCTTGCATACCACAGCTTGGCTTCTTAGCCATGTCATACCGTAGGAAGGCATACTGCGCATTGCCGCATCCACAGTAGAGCACAGCGGAGCACAGCATAGAGTCTTGTACCATGCCACTGAAGAAAACAGGGCAGCACGGTAAGTTGTAGCACACCCATGCACAAGATACCGATGCAGCGGCTTCGCGTTTTCCTCGCCCCTCCCGTCTTCCCTTTCTCCTCCTCCTCTCCTTCCCTCTTTTTCTCCTGCCTGAGTCCGCGGCCATTGTGGAGTTCTGGTGGTCCTCTGAATGCGATTGCTTTCTTTACTGCTCGCGCACCCGTTGAGCGCTCGACGCGGCAGGAACCATGGCCCGTTTTCTATCGACGGTATCAGCCAGGCCGTGAGCCGGCCATTCTCCATCTCGTCTCAGTGTGGATTTATACAGCTGGTCAGTTGGACCACCAGGGATGGGATTCGTAAATCCTTCGTAGGCGCTCGTTCCCCTTCTCCTCCTCGTTCTCTTCCCATTTTCCTCCCTCGTGCCTGGTGCTGTTTTACTTCTGTCATGGGCCACAGATGGAAGCAGCCGATTTGCGTGGCCTCCATTTTGGGCTACCACGGTGTTCACTCTTCGTCCTCGTCCTCTCCTCGTCGCATTGCGATTGGTGTCGCGATGTGTGTTGCTGGGTGTGATGTGAAGCTTGGTGATGGTTGCGTGCTGGGAAAAAGATACCGCCGCAGTGCGCAGCCGCAAGCCACGGCACGTCGTATCAGAGCTACGTTCACCCGCGGAGCGGCCTAGCGCGTATTCGTCGCTGCCGTTGTCATGTTTGCCGTTGTCGTTACAGGGTATCATCGCCGTCATCCTCAATGTTTGCAAGACTTGTGGGAAACCATTTCTTGACCCTCCGTCATTGATTCAACCTTTTGCAGACCACTAACTGTCTGCACGCGTGAAGCAAAACAACCTGCCGCAATGAAGCTACCTGCGCTCGTTCTCGTGCTGGCCGCCTGCGCGTCAGCGTCCCGCGCGCCCGCCAAAAGCAGGAGGCCGGCGGCAGGAGGCCGCGTCCTCCGCAGCCGCGATGAGGCCCTCCTGGCGCAGTCCGAGGCCTCGCGCACGGAGCTCGAGGCGCGGGCACGGCTGGCCGCGGCGAGGGCGAACCGCCAGCGCGGCACAGATTTCCGCGACCCTTGCTCGGGCCTCGCGATGACCCAGGAGGAAGCAGGAGGGAGAAAAAAGAACACAGACACAAGCAATCGTCGACGCCCGAGAGAGTATGGGAAAACAGGGGAAGCGGGCGGGAAGACAAAGACCCAGAACATATGGGAAAATAGGGGGAACATTGTTATTTGTGTGTATTTATCTGTGTGTCCTGTAGAGGATTGGGAGCCGTTCATCAACGAGCGGAGCCCAGACCCCTTCCCGAAGCCCTACAACGTGCAGCCCATGCACTACGCCACCGGCTACTTCCACATCGGGTGCATAGTGGATTCCCAGCGGGACCAGACCCGATGGTACCATGACAACGTGCCGAAGTTGGACCGCCTCGGCATGACCCCCGCGGAGTGTTTCGGCTTCTGCCGCAACGTATCCGGCGCCCTCTTCTTCGGCCTAAAGGGTGGCGACAAGTGCTATTGTACCCCCTTCTCACACAACACCGACAAGGGTGGGCGTGGCATGTGCGACGTGCCGTGCACAGGCGACAGTTCGATGACATGCGGTGGCAAGGAGATGATTGACATGTACGAGATGCACGATTGCAACAACCTTCCCGAACTAAAGTGCACGCGGCAGCCGCCGCCAGTGAAGCACGCGCAAATGTTCAAGAGCATCTACTACCGGCCGGCATCGATCTGCGCCAACGCTATGTCCGAGGCGGTCACTGACAGGAAGCCACACTGTGACGTCCAGTGCGAGTCGGGCTACGAGCTGCTCAAAAACACGATCCAGTGCGTCGAGAAAGGCAATCGCCTGACCTACTCCTGGGCGGAGTTCGAGGGCTCGGCCGCCTGCACGCCCGTGGTGTGCGGCGTGCCCCCGGAAGGCGTGCTCTCGAGCCGCTCGCCGATGCCGCGCCACTACCCCCAGAAGACCCTCTACGGCTGCTTCTTCGGCCACTCCACGATGCCGCACCTGCCCAACGCGTCCGGCCCCAAGAACTTCACCATCAAGTGCCAGGCGAACGCGACGTTCTCGCCGATCCGGGAGTGCAGCCGGGTGCACTGCGGCGCGTGCCCGAGCCGCCCGCACGCGGAAGCCCGCGAGGCGGGCCTGCGGGTCTACGAGGACAGCTGCACCTACGACTGCCACTCGGGCTACACCATCGACCAGAATGCAGCTGGGCTTACCGTCTGGAGGGGCAAGTGCCACGCCAACGGCCAGTTCACGACGATGCACCAGTGCAAGCCGGTGAAGTGCCCAGGCCAGCGCCAGGTCGAGCACGCGGAGATAGTCTACGACGACACGGGGGCCCAGCAGAACATCGTTTTCCCCATGATGGTGCACTACAGGTGTCAGGAGGGCTACACTCGGAACGGCGTGGTGGGCGCCGAGAACGCCTTCACGCGCGAGTGCCAAGCCGACGGGATATTGTCCCTGCCCGACCCGGAATGCATTCGAGACGGGACGACGTGCGCGCAGTGTTTGCCTGTGAGCTGCGGGGATCCGGCGGAGGTGGCCAATGCTTCGTACAGTCCTCAGGCACGCGTTTACAAGGAGAGGGCTCGAGCTAAACAATGTTTGGGCGATTTCGTGCAGCCGTTTGACTTCATTTCGCCTCAAGAGCGAAACGAAGACAGAACGGGGGAAATCAAAAATAAACGGAACGAACGCGGAAAGCAGTGTTTCAGTTTCGCTCGAGCGCTGCAAGGAGAAGCTCATCTACTCCTGCAACCGGGGCTACTCTCTCGACGGTCAGGCCGGGGGCCCCTCGGTGACGGTCCTTACGTGCCAGAGCGACGGCACCTACGACGCGCCGCCGCCCGTGTGCGTGCCCGTGGAGTGCGGCGCCTCGCCGGCCCATCCGAACGCGGAGGTCCGAAGAACAGAAAGCGGCACAAGCACGTGGTGGGGGCCTGGGTTGAGGGATGTGCCCCGGAGGCCTGAGACCCTAGAGGATGTCTTGTCGGAGGAGGGCGGCAGTGACGTCCACCACGATTGGAGCTCAGCCGTCTTCGGGGCCCTGGAATCCTTGCGCAATGAATGATTATTTGTCGATTGCCTCCACCGTAAGCATAATTTCTCGGAGGTCCGCGCGGACTTCCGAGAGGCTATGTTCACAAAGTCGTTTGTGCATGCAAAGGTGCAAGGCAGCCCCGGTGCGATGATCCACTTCGAGTCGCAGCCCCTCCTCTTCAAGTGCCTCCCTGGCTTCTCCACAGAGGTCGGCGACGACCCCTACAGGGTGCAGAAGGACTCCTACTCTATTTCATGCACTTCAAGCGGGCAGTTCTCGGCCTACACGCCGTGCGTCAACATCAATAACTGCCTCTTCCACAGCTGCGGGCGCAACGGTGATTGTGAAGACTTGCCAGCGCCCACGGGGACCCCGCTGGACGACTACAGGTGCAAGTGCTGGCCAGGCTACGAAACGACGCTCTCGACAGCTGGAAATTTTACAGAGAAGATCTGCACCAACATTGACGACTGCCCGCGCCCAGAACCTCCCGATGAGCAGCCATGTGGTGGGTTGACCGAAGAAGGCGAGAGCCGCGGCGAGTGCGTGGATCATATCCTGGGCTACACATGCACTTGCTACAATGGGTACGAGCTGCATAACGCCACCCCCACCAATGAAACCTGCATGCCGGTGGTTTGCGGGCCTGTGCCGAAACCCAATTTTACCACGCATGATTTCGCACTTGCCGAGGCCGATTACGACTCCCCGGCGTGGAATTACACGTGCGACGAAGGGTATTCTCTGAGCGGCGCCTATGGAGGCCCGCTGGTGTTCTCAATGGGCTGCAACAGTGGCGGCAAATTCGACCCCCAGCCAGGGGTTTGCCTGCCAGTCACCTGCGGCGCGGCCCCCGTGCTCGATTTCTGCGACTCCACAGAGCAGGCGCTGGAGATGGTTTTCCCCGAAACGGCGTCATACAGGTGCAACGAGGGGTACTCACTAACTGCCAAGTACAGCAGGGCAGACGCCGACATCAGCTTTTGGATTGAGTGCCTCTCCGACGGCAACTTCTCCATTCGCGGCAGCCGATACGGCGCCTCCCGCCCGGCTCTTTGCCTGCCTGTGGAGTGCGGGATTCCCACCCTCGTTGCTAACGCTTACCATGCAGACGACACCGAGATGTTTGTCTACCCTCAGACAGCACGCCAGATCTGTGCCGAGGGCCACTCGCTAGACAACAGCACTGCTCTTGCGATGCAGCAGTTCGAGGTCCAGTGTCTGAGCGACGGGACCTTCTCCGACCCTCCAGAGCCAGGCCAGTGTGTCCCCGTCGCGTGCCCCGCCCTGGTGCCCAAGCCGAACATGACCTGCGACACTACTGCCAAGGTCTACCAGCAGGAAGCCGAGTGCACCGCGGACGCCGGCTTCACCCTGGACGGCACGGCAAGTGGCCGGACAAGTTTCAAGTGCCTCTGCCAGGCGAATGCCACCTTTACTCCTGTTCAGCCAGTACTCCCCGTGTCTTGCGGCCCGGCTCCCAACTACACGGACAAGTTCGCTTCGGGCCCCCAGATCTCGTTTGTGTATTCTCAAGTTGCCTCGTACTCGTGCTTCACTGGGTACAGTCTGGACGGCACCGCGGGCGGGCTCAAGACGTTCCAGATCGGATGCCAGGCAAACGGCGCTTTCGACGAGCACGCCGGTTGCCAACCTATCAACTGCGGTGCCTGGGAGCTGCTGCCGCACACCCACCAGATCCCGGACTGGAGTGGAGAAGAGCATTCTTCACTAGTGTACGGGCAGGTCGCCGCACTGCAGTGCTCCCCTGGCTGGTCGACAGATGGTGCGCTGGCCAGCACGAACACAAATGGTACCATCGCTTGCCAGGCAGACGGCACCCTGCTCTACCCGAAGATATGCCATTCGAACAACAACGATTGCGGCGGATCCGACAACCAGTGCCTGCCGAGCGGCACTTGCCACGACCACCGCCAGCCAACGGGCATTCACTTCGACGACTTCTCGTGCCTCTGCTCGAGCGGCTTCGCAGAGAACACGAGCGCCCAGAGAAAGACGTGCTACAACATCCCAGACTGCCCAGCGGCCGCATGCCAGCCAGGGTTTTGCACCGACCTCGTGAACGACTACAGCTGCACCTGCCCGAGGGGCTACTACGAGGGCCCCAACACGGAGGAGGACCTGAGGCACGACTGCCTCCCGGTGTCCTGCGGCGTGCCGAGGCGCATCGCGTACTCGTCCGTGAGCAGCGGTGCCGAACAGTTCTTCGGCGGCCCCGACCTGCTCTACACCTGCGAGCCTGGCTACACGACGGACGGTCGCGCAGATGGGCCGACGACGTTCGGCAGCATCTGCCTGTCCAACGGCACCGGGCCAGAGCGAGGCACGCAGTCCTGGACGCCCTCGTGCCTGCCGGTGGAGTGTGGCACCGCTCCAGTGGTGGGAAACAGCACGCACGGTTTCGCGGCCGACCACGTGTTCAAGTATCCCGAGGAGCTCAAGTACACCTGCGACACGTACTACCAGCTGGCCAGCGCGAGCGCGACAGCGTCCCCGGCACCGCCCCAGGCATCACCCACTCTTCATTTCTCTCTATCCCTCATCACCATCCTCATGGATGAGCGACTGTTTCACGTGCGCGACCTCCGGCACCTGGGGCTGGAGCCTTCGATGGATCTCCCCATGGGGCCACGAATCGTTGTCCTGCGTGGCGTTGACGCATGCGGCCTGTGCCACTGGAGCCTTCGGTGGAGCTCCCTATGGGGCCACGAAGCGCTGTCCTGGGTGGCGTTGACGCATGCGGCCTGTGCTACTGGAGCCTTCGGTGGAGTTCCCTACGGGGCCACGAAACGCTGTCCTGGGTGGCGTTGACGCATGCGGCCTGTGCCACTAGAGCCTTCGGTGTATCTCCCTATGGGGCCACGAAGCGCTGCACTGGGTGGGTGAAACGCAGGGAGGTGACGAGGCGGATGGGAGGAGGGAGGATGGGGGAGGAGGAGGAGACGAGAGGAGTGACGCGCGGCGCGGTCTCTTTATAACGAGGGCCCAACACCACAGGATGGTTGGGAAAAAGACACCCCACCCGTGTGTCCCAGGACGCCCTGAGACGTTTCGAGAGCGCCCCAAGAGGTTACGACGTGGATCCTCAGTGGAGGTGGTGAGAGTTGCGACGAAGCCTGCAGTGCGTCGGGCAGCTCATGCGACGCTTCAGCTGACTGGCCTACGACCGAAGCGGCCGTTTCAATTGTTGGTTCTCTCTTGGGACATTCGTGCGATCAGTCTACGAACTATGGTGGCGATTGGGAGTTCGCACCTTACACCTACACGCCCGATGGGCGCTGCAATTATCCAACAAGTGCGACATATCCGACATGCAGTGCAGCGGGCGCAGACGCAAACATCCGCCGCTTCTGCCCATGTACACCAACCGTGCAGGCACTTGCTGCTGCTGCTGCTGCTGCTGCTGCTGCTGCTGCTGCTTGACATTCTATTCTCCAGATCCACAATGGTAATTCGTGTTACCCTCTTCCTTTTCACTGAGCTCGTCCTCCTCGCGCTCCCTCTTGCCTGCTTGACATCCCATTATTTCCAGCACGTCCACCTCATCTTCATCCTCCTGCTCCTCCCTCTCCTCCCCCCATCCTCGGCTGCCTGCTTCTCGTGCTCTCTCCCAGCCCTTCTGTGTCCGGCCCCCGTTTTGACAACAGCACTTGTTGTTGCGGCTCTCACGCTTCCTCTCCCGTGTGCCTCCTCCTTTCCCTGGGCATCGCCCGGACGCGTGCACTTTTTCTTCGGCGAGGACCATTGAGGAGACGTTGGGATCATCTTGCGAAACAAGGCACGCACGACATCGAAAAAATACACGGCGAATGGACGTCCGAGCGATGCCAAAAGCTCCTCCATCGTCCACACCCCTTCGTCGCTCCCTCCTGGCGCTCGCGGCATCTCTCCCCTCGCTCCAGCAACTGGGTGCAGCGGATGTTGCCGGACGTGCAGCTGCCGCCACCTTGTCGTGCCCCCGGGGGCTCCAGCCGAGCGGTGCCCTGCTCGTGCGCCAATGCGCACGGAGACGCGCGACGAGGACCGAGCAGGAAGGCGACTCGGCGGTCCGAGCTCGGCCACGGCGCGGTGGAGGAGGGGCATCTTGCGCGAGGGCACCGGCACGTTCTGCGCCGTCGGGGCCGAGCAGGACGGCCTGGTCTCGGCCGCTGAGGTTCGTCGACTTGCGGCAGCAGCTGCACCCAGCAGACTGAACAGCGCGTTGTCGGCACCACCGCCCACAGATCAATGCCGCAGTAGCTTCAAGGACAGACGACCCGTGCTCCGCACGGCACCTCAATCACGGCACCACGGTTGTTGAGAGGCTTACGACAGGTCAGGCGTTGCCAGGGCTCGCCGCCGAACGTTCGGCCCTCACATCACGAGCAGGCGCGCCGCCTAGACGGGATGGCATTGCTGCAGCAGCGTGGCAACAGGCTTGGCCTGAATCACCAGGGCATCAGCCTTGGCCAGTTCTGATGTCACCGCGGCCACCGCTGCCGCTAGTGGCGTCGCTGTTTCATCGGAAAACACTTCCGTCCCCGCACCTGGCTAATTTTTCCATCGGGGCAGGCATGTAGGCAAGCGACTGTGACATCGCATCAGAGCACCTGGGGCAACATCGTGCACCCCGCAGTCGGCTATTTTGGGAAGGTCTGAACCGTTCGCGTGATAGTTGGGAGAGGGCCGCGAATCACTTCTGTCTACAGGGATACCCTGCGTCTTTTTTGTGCAATAGGATGTTTGATGATATTCGGCAGAGAAACCAATGAGGGGAATCCTCCCCCCCCCAGGGGGGTCAGCCTCATTGGTTTCTCTGCCGAACGCAACAGTCGATCGTTCTGGCCTTGCGATCCGGCCGTCTCCAATGAGGCTGACCCCCCCCCCCCGGGGGGTCAGCCTCATTGGATTCGGTGGGTTTCCAAGGCCAGATCGATGAACTCTTGCTCAGTGCGCAAAATCAAACCGGTTTGGTTCTTCACGTAGTTTTGATGACGGCGTGACCATGATTTGGGTGCGAAGATGACGACGTGATTCATGAGGCAATGATAACGTCGAGGCGATGATGGCGTGATGATGATGATGATGACGTGCCGATGACGTGATGATGATGGCGTGGTGGCGGCGTGCGATGGATTGGCTGCGATGATGACGTGGTGATGACGAAGGTTGCACTCTGGACCGCGCACATATCACACATGTACATCACATCCAACCGAGAGCACACTATAGGTCGAAACATCACATTACCACCCAGATTGCAGATCATAGACCACATCACATTCAATGCGTAGCATATGTTGCATACCAAAAGCTGCGTCCCATTGCACCGCGTCGATTGCATCCCGCTGTTTGTGCCACATGTGTGTAGACACGCACACACATATAGTATGTGCACATGGACAGACGCAGACAATGTTTGTATGTATGTGTATATCGCAACATATACATATGGACAGCACCGTGTATGTTGCACGACATGTAAGACAACGCGTTGGCTGCATCACGTAGATTGCACCGAACGTTTGGTCCCCGTATATAGCAGCACGGACGAATGACACCAACAATGTTGCACCATATAGATCGTGCTACACGCATACTGTATCACATATAGTGCACGGCGTGTGTACACATATGTACATACCTCTGCATGTGTGTGGTGCGCGTCGTATGCGTATTTCCAAAAATGTCCTGCTGTGGCCAGAACAACTGATTGACGCTTCGCGTATCCCCAACCAGCCCATCCAGAAACACGATGCCCAGGCGAGTTGAGGTAATCAAAGAAGCGTGAGAGCAAAGAAGGGGTAGCCGTTATCGTTCCAAGGAAAAGGAGGATGGATGAGGGATGAGGGAGGAGGGAGAAGGAGGAGATATTGGCGGATGAGGAGGGGGAGAATGAGGAGGAGGAGGAGGAGGAGGGCGAGCATGAGGGACATACGCCTCTTGGATGCGCTTCGGAGTCTCTAGGGATATCTCTTGGGCATTCCGTGGAGGCCTTGGGGCGTCTTGGGGGCCTCTCGTGGCGGCCCTGGGGACCTCTCTAGGCATATTTATGTGCTTCTGGGGGGGGGGATCTTGGGGCCTGTTTGGGGCCGCTTAAGGGGCCTCTCATTGTGTTCTTGGGGGCCTCGTGGGCGCTTCTTGAGGCAATTTTGCAGCTCTTTGAGAGGCCGTGGATGCCTTTCTTGGGCCATCTTGGAGGACATCGATCTCGGAAGTGGGAGCCCTCAATCAGCGCTGCCCCTCTTGAGCCTCCAAAGTCGCCTCGTGGGGCGCTCTTGGGCGTTCTTGGGGCTGTCTTGGGGCCATATTGGGCCTCTCTTTGGGCCCTCTTAGGCCATCGTGGAGCCATCTTGGGGCTTCAGAACCCCATCGGGAGCGAACAAGCGAGAAGGCACACGTCATTAATGTGATTCAGGTTGGCGAAAGGGTTTGGGTTTCTCGTGGGCGTCATTGAAAGTCTCCGTTGCCAATTGTTCCCATCTTGGGGCCATCATGGTGTTTCTTGAAGGCATATTGGAGGCCGTCTTGGATAGTTTGTGGCCGGATTGCGTCGTATTTACAGCTATTTTAAAGCATCTGGGGTCACCTTGGAGCTCTATTGCGCCAAAAGACTCCCACAGAGGCCCCCGAAAAGCTAAACACAATCAAACCTGTGTGTGTGTGTGTGTTCTCAATGTGTGTGTGTGTTGATCAAAGATAGGGGGGGTCAATTAGCGCTGCCCGTCTACAGTCCCTAAGATCGCCTCTTGGGGCACTCTTGGGTGCTCCTGGGACTGTCTCGGAGGCCTCTTGGGCCCCTCTTGGGCCTCTCTTGGGCCCTCTTGGAGCCATCTTGAGGTATAGGCTATCGGAAGCGAGCCTGCGAGAAGGCCAAACTCACTGATTAGATCAAGGCTTGGGAAGGATTTGGGCCTCTTGGGGCCACTTGCACCCGTCTTAGAGCGGCATGATCTCTTGGAGGCCATCTTGCGCCATCTTTGATGCCATCTTGAAGCATATGGGGCCATCTTGGAGCCCCCTTGGGCCAAACGCCTCCCAAAGATACCTCCGAAAAGCAAACATCCTTTACAGCCAACGTGGTGTTAAAAGTATGTGTTGCTCACACAGCGGGGATAATTTGCCCTGCACCTCGAAAGCCCCTTATGATCGCCTCTTGGGGCCCTCTTAGGCTTTTAGGGCGCTCTTGGAGCTGTCTTGGAGCCCTCCTGGGCCTTGGGCCATCTTGGAACCGTCTTGAGGCTTCCCGGAAGCGACAAGGCGAGAAGTCAAACAACACCGATTACATTTAGGTTTGGGAAAGGTTGTGGCCTGTTGGGGGCGTCCTCTGGAGGCCCCAAAGCCATTTGAACCCGTCTTGGGGCGATCTTTTGGCATTTTGAAGCATATTGGAAACAATATTGAGCCATCTTAACCCACCTTGGATGTCACCCTGGGCTCTCTGAAGCCATCTTGGAGCCATCTTGGGCCATCTTGGACGCTCCAGCGCCTCCCCGCCCCCCCGTCCAGACCCAGGGCGCTCCCCCCCACCAGGGGCCCCCGGCGTGGGTGGAGTCCCCCCTCTCCGCTCCCAGAGCCTCCCCTGGGTCCTCGCAAGAGGTTCCAAGAACCTCTGGTGCGACCTTCCGACCTGGGCGGAAGGTCCGAGTAAAAAATGGATAGGAGGAGGAGGAGGAGGAGGAGGAGGAAGAGGAGGAGGAGGAGGAGGAAGAGGAGGAGGGAGGAGGTTGAGGAGGTTGAGGAGGCTGAGGAGGAGGAGGAGGAGGAGGAGGCTCCTCCTGCCGCTTCTCCCCCTGACCCTGCTGCTCCAGCCGCTCCGCCCCCCCCCCCCCCTCCAACGTTGTACGGATGCTACGCTGTGGGTGTGGCCACATCTTGCCCTCTCCTGCTCCTCATGATGCCAGCTCCTCCTCCTCCTCCTCCTCCTCCTCCTCCTGATCTTGCTCCTCGTGTTGCTCCTGCTGATCTTCCTGCTGATCAGGCCGCCCATGCTGCACCCCCAACACTTGTACGGATACCACGCTGTGAGAGCGAATTCATGCGTGGTACGTCGTGTTCCTCTTGCTCCTCCTGCTCCTCTTCCTGCTGCTCTCACTGCTTCCCCTCGCTGTAAAGAAGCCACGACGTGAGTGGATGCAGCGTGGCACCTCCAGCTCCTCCTGCTCATGTTGCTCCTCATCCTCCTCATCCTCCTTATGCGCCTGCTGCTCCTCCTGCTGATCCTGCTCTTCCTCGATGCTGTGCAGACACCTCGCTGTGAGAGTGGCCACAGCGTGGCATGTCCTACTGCTCCTGCTCCTCCTCCTGCTCCTGCTGATCCTACAGCTGCTCATGCTGCTCCCCCACTCTGTACGGATACAGCGCTGTGGGCGTGGCCACAGCTTGGCACAGTCTGCTGGTTTTGTTCCTCCTACTCTTTCTGCTGATCCTGCTGAGCCCACGCGCTGTGCATAAGGAGGAGGAGGAGGAGGAGGAGGAGGCCACGCTGTGAAAGTGGCCACGGCGTGGCATCTCCTGCTCCTCCTCCTCCTCGTCCCGTCGCTCGTGCTGCCCCTCCACGCTGTACGGACGCCATGCTCTGAGAGTGGCCACAGCGTGCCCTCTCTTGTTGCTCCTGCTACCCCTGCTGCTCCTTCACCTTGGCACCGCTCGGACGTGTGCACTTTTTGGTCGGCAGAGCATCATCCTGGAGCATCCTGCGAAACAGTGAACTCCCGACACCGGAAAGCACACAGGGACTGAGCGTCCGAGCGAGTAGCGCTGTGCGGATACCTCGCTGCGGGAGTGACCACAGTGCGGCATCTCCTGCTGCGCTTGTTCCTCCTCCTGCTCCTCCTGCTGCTCCTCCGGCTGACTCTGCTGATCCTGTTGCTCCTCCCACATTGCACAGATTCCACGCTGCGAGAATGGCCACAGCGTGGCATCTCTTGCTCCCCTTGCTTTTGCTTGTCCTCCTCCTCCTCCTCCTCTTCCTCCTCCTCCTCCTCCTCTTACTCCTGCTCCGGCTCCTGCTCCTGCTCCTGCTGGTTCTTGCTGCTCCTCCACGCCGTGCAGGTGCCACGCTGCGAGAGTGTGGACAGCGTGGCATCCCCTGCTGATCCTGCTCCGCCTCCTCCTGCTGTTCTTGCTGCTCCTCTTACAGATTCTGCTGGTCGCGGGATATGCCACAGTGGTACCTATTGCTCAGATTGATGTTCCTGTTCCGCCTTCTTTCTCTTGCTGCTGATCATGCAGCTCCTGCTGCTCCTCACGTTGTATAGATGCCACGCTGTGAAGTTGGCCACGGCGTGGCATCTCCACTGCTCCTGATCATGCTGCTCCTGATCCTGCTCGACGACGACGAGTCAACCAAAAAGGCCTCCACGGATATTTCGTTCTGGGAACCTTTTGGAGGTTTCGTGGGGCCGTCGTGGGCTTGGGAGGTCTCTTGAGGTCCTCCCGAGGGCATCGGGGACCCGTCTGAAGCCATTATGCAGAACATCGATCAAGCGTGGAGGTGGGCTTAATGCCAGTCCCCCAGCCGAAGCCCAAACAAGGTGCATCTCGGAGCCTTATTGAAGCGCGTCTAGGGCGCTCTTGGGCGCTTTAGGGGCAGTCTTAAAGATTGCATGGGCCCCTCCTGGGGATCTCTTGAGCGAGCTTGGAGCCGCCTTGAGGCCGCACAAGTCAGCCGGAAACGACTGCGCGATACGGCAAATTTGATTGACACACTTCAGATGTGCTATTGAATTGGCATTCTAGGGGGTGGTTCTGGGAGGCTGCGAGGCCATTTGGAGCAGTCGTAGGGCCTCTTGGCGGCACGTTGAATGTTACCTTTCACCCACCTTGGGGTTGTCGCATGCCGTAGCGCCGTCGCGGAGGCCACATTGGAAATTATGGTGGCACCTTGGAGCCAAATTCGCCCAAACGTCTCCGAACATTGGCCCTGGCAAGTCATACATCGAACAACAACCGAGGTGGCTTGGGGGAGAGAGAGGGAGAGAGAGAGAGAGAGAGAGATGGGGGGGGGAGAGAGAGAGAGAGAGAGAGAGAGAGCGAGAGAGAGAGAGAGGGAGAGAGAGAACGTGAGAACGAGAGAAAGAGCTAGGAAATAAAACATTAGCCTGGCGAAGGACCCAACCATATGCAGTTGTGAATGCCGCAATTGTGCTGGGTGGTGGCGGACGCATGCGGGCGGTGCCACTGGGACCTTCGGTGGAGCTCCCTATGGGGCCACGAAACGCTGTACTGGGTGGGTGAGACGCGGTCAGCAAGGGCTGTGCTGCGTGGTGGCGGACGCATGCGAGCGGTGCCACTGGGACCTTCGGTGGAGCTCCCTATGGGGCCACGAAACGCTGTACTGGGTGGGTGAAACGCAGGCAGGGAGCAAGGGCTGCGCAGGGTGGTGGCGGACGCATGCGGGCGGTGCCGCTGGGACCTTTGGTGGAGCTCCCTATAGGGCTACGAAGCGCTGTTCTGGGTGGGTGAAGCGCAGGGAACAAGGGCTGTGCTGGGTGGTGGCGGACGCAAGCGGGCAGTGCCACTGGGACCTTTGGTGGAGCCCCCTATGGGGCCACGAAACGTGCGAGGGGTGTGCCAGGGGGTGTGCCGGGGGGTGGAGGCATGCCCCCCTGCCACTGGGGCCTTCGGTGGAGCTCCCTATGGGGCCACGAAACGTGTGGAGGGGTGTGCCGAATGGGGGGTGGAACCGCATGCGGGCGCAGCCACTGGGGCCTTCGGTGGAGCTCCCTATGGGGCCACGAAACGTGTGAGGGGTGTGCCAGAATGGGGGGTGGAACCGCATGCGGGCGCAGCCACTGGGGCCTTCGGTGGAGCTCCCTATGGGGCCACGAAACGTGTGAGGGGTGTGCCAGAATGGGGGGTGGAACCGCATGCGGGCGCAGCCACTGGGGCCTTCGGTGGAGCTCCCTATGGGGCCACGAAACGTGTGAGGGGTGTGCCAGAATGGGGGGTGGAACCGCATGCGGGCGCAGCCACTGGGGCCTTCGGTGGAGCTCCCTATGGGGCCACGAAACGTGTGAGGGGTGTGCCAGAATGGGGGGTGGAACCGCATGCGGGCGCAGCCACTGGGGCCTTCGGTGGAGCTCCCTATGGGGCCACGAAACGTGTGAGGGGTGTGCCAGAATGGGGGGTGGAACCGCATGCGGGCGCAGCCACTGGGGCCTTCGGTGGAGCTCCCTATGGGGCCACGAAACGTGTGAGGGGTGTGCCAGAATGGGGGGTGGAACCGCATGCGGGCGCAGCCACTGGGGCCTTCGGTGGAGCTCCCTATGGGGCCACGAAACGTGTGAGGGGTGTGCCAGAATGGGGGGTGGAACCGCATGCGGGCGCAGCCACTGGGGCCTTCGGTGGAGCTCCCTATGGGGCCACGAAACGTGTGAGGGGTGTGCCAGAATGGGGGGTGGAACCGCATGCGGGCGCAGCCACTGGGGCCTTCGGTGGAGCTCCCTATGGGGCCACGAAACGTGTGAGGGGTGTGCCAGAATGGGGGGTGGAACCGCATGCGGGCGCAGCCACTGGGGCCTTCGGTGGAGCTCCCTATGGGGCCACGAAACGTGTGAGGGGTGTGCCAGAATGGGTGTGGGAGGGGGAGGAGGGGGGAGGAAGGGGAGGAGGAGGAAGGAGGAGGAGGAAGGAACGCGGGGCGACGTCTCTTCAAAACGAGGACCCAACACCACAGGATGGTTGGGAACAAAGAGAGCAAGAGAGCCAGGGAAAAGAATGCAAGAGAGAGAGAGAGAGAGAGCGAGATAACGAGAGGATAAGTCCAGACATTAAAAACACATTCAAGCGAGCTAGGGATCAAGAGAGCAAGAGAGGGAGAGAGAGAGAGAGAGGGAGAGAGCGAGAGAATGAGACAGGGAAAGCGAACGAGAAAGAGATATGAAAGGTAGAGAGAGAGGAGAGATCGACATGCAAAACACATAGCGACGCAAACTAGCTTTCCCCGTCGGGGCCAGAACGCATGACCAGCTGTGCCCTCGCGTGGCGCCTTGGAGCTCCTCTTGGAGCCTTTTGGGTAGTCGTTCGGCCTCCTGGGCTCTCTGGGGTGATCTTTGCGCCACCCTGACAGGGCTCATTTCCACTCTTCGATTCGATTCGACTTCGATGGCCTCCGATTCCGATTCGATTCGATTTCGGATTCCGATTTGGGTTCCGATTTCTCATTGGAGGCAACCTAGCCTGCCGATGTCCGCCGATTCGACTCGACTTGGTTGCCGATGCCCGCCGATCCGATTGAAATCGATCGTCGATCCGACTTATCGATTCGATTATGGGCTCTGCGATTCAGAAGTCCATCGGAAGTGAAAAGGCGATAAGGCAGACATCACTGAAACACCTTACATGGTGAAGCAGTCCTGCCTCTCGAGGGTACACCTGGGAGGCTCCGAGGCCACTTGGAGCCATCATGTGGCAATATTAGAGCCTCTCAGAGGCATAACGAGTCATATTGGATTTCACTGTGCAATATTGCAAGACGCATCGGGCTGTATGGAGCCGTTGATGGAGCCTGGAAGCTCCTCGCCCGATTTCTGTCGCGTAGACACAGGAGGGGGTACCCCTTCATCCTCCCTCTTCCCTCCCTTCATCCTCCCTCTTCCCTCCCCTCTTCTCCTCACTACTTCTGTTGCTGCGAAAACGAGGCGCTTTTTAAGCAAGCCCTGCTGCAAGCTGTTGACTAAAACTCGTAAGGAATACCTCGATTGGATTGCGGCTGGTCTCAAGCCGAACGTCCGAAGCCGAGCCAGGAAAACTAGGCAAACGAGTTCTATGTGATCCGAGCGAGGCTGTTATTGTTTGAGTCGCATCCCCAACGAACTCCACTCCACCCCACACCTACATCCATCTACGCGTTGGCCCCCTTTTGTTTTTGGGGCGGCGGGATACTATATATCTCTCTCTCTCTCTCTCGATCTCTTTCTCTTTCTCTTGTATCTTGGCTCTCAGTCCATGGTTGCAGATACTTGTGCTGCCGACTGCTTCCAGAAAAATCCTTCGAGGCTTCATCGACGTTCGTTGCCAGATGCGCCGCAAACGGCACGTTCGTCGGCGTCTCGTCGTGCGCCCCGATGCCTTGCGGCGCAGTGCCCGAGCAGCATCACGTGAACGTCAACCACACCGGCGTGGTCATGACCTACGGGCAGCAGTTGTTGAAGACGTGCAAGCCTGGCTATGCGCTGGACCATCGACAAATAAGAATCGGGTGCAGCTAGAAGTGCCCCCACGGTCTCCAGAGCACCCCTCACGTGGCCCGGACGGCCCAGGGGCTCCAAAGTTGAGCGAGAAGCTGGGAGCACTTTTGGGCCAGGGGCACGTCAAGCAGCCCCCGAACAGTTGAATCAACGTAAACTGTTGGAGCTCCGCGCGGATTTCTTGGATCGGCGCCCTGGCCCCCCTGGCGGCGCCTCTGGCGTCGCGCGCAAGGGAGGGGAGTCCAGCGCCGATGCGAGAGATCCGCGCGAAGGTCCGACAATTCTTCACGCTTCGCGTACCCCCACCAGTATGCACCGCTTCCTGACCTTCGCCTGGGAGCCGCCAACAAAAAAAAAAAAACACCAGAGTGTGGGTCGTGCCTCCACTCAGATTGACGGGCTTGGTTATCCTGGTTCACGTCTCATACTGTGGCAGGCTTCGAATTCCATGACATTTTGTCTGTGCACGTGCTCGAGCTCGCAGGATATCCCCGCCGTCAGCTCCCCTGCAGCTCTCGGCTGCTCTGTGAGCGGGCCGGCCGGCCTGTGCCTGCTGTAGCTAATTAGCCTCGCTCGTGTCCCAGACTTTGCTTCTCGCCGCCTGACCTCTGTCTCGCGGCCGCGACCGAAAAAGTCCCCCCACGATTTTCGGACGCCACCGGGAATGGGTCTACCAGTTTTTCGCGCCCTTCTGAGCTGACGCCTTGCTGCGCCTGTCTTGCTTCTCCGCTTTCTGTTGTTCTGCTGTCTAGTCGTGGCCCGGCTAGAGTTTGGACGCCTTTTGACCCGCTTCACGAGGCCGCTGATCAAAACAAACACACCAGCCCATTCAGAAGCCCTGCCAATGAGAGCTGACGGGAAAAGGGACGAAGAGACACATCTAGGGAACAGAGCGAGCAACCAGGGTGAACCGAGAGATCTCTGGGAGCAAGGGGGTGGCCTTGGAAGGCCTCTTCGGGCCATCCCTGGGGGCCGCGTGGGGGCGAGGGGAAGAGCAGGAGGAGGAGGAGCAGGAGGAGGATGAGGACGAGGAGGAATAGGAGGACGAGGCCGCGGATGAGGACGAGGACGAGGAGGACGAGGACTAGGCTGCTGCTGCTGGTGATGTCTGGGAGTTTGGGGCGCCCTCTTGGAACCCTCTTGGTAACCCTGGAAGGCTTATTGGGAACATTTTGGAGGCCATCGATTGCAGGATGGGGGGGTCCCCAACTCAGCTCCCCCTTTCAGGAGGTGGCAACCCGCTTTGTTGGGCTCTATTGGAGCGCTCTTGAGCGCTCTCGGAGCGGTCGTGGGGCCGTTTGGAGCATCTTGGGAGCCATCTTGAGCCAGCTTGGGCTATCTGAGCCATCTTGGAGGTCATCTTGTGCTGTCTGAGGCCGCTCGAGGGCCTTTTGGAGCCCTCTTGGAACCCTCTTGGAGCCCTCTTGGGGCTCTCTTGGGGCTCTCTTGGGGGCACTGGAGCGCCTCTTGGGGCCATCTTCGATGCGATCGATCAAAGGAGGGAAGCTCCCGATCGAGGCCCCCCCCTCGGGGGCCACGATCCTCGTGAATGGTGTCAGAAATTTACCCTCACAGGGGCCGAAAAAGGACCCTCCAACGACCCGCGACCGCCGCCTAAAAAGGCCAGGGGAGGGGGCAGGGGGAGGGGTCGGGACTCCCTCCCCGCCCGCAAGCCGTTTCGCTCACTCCCACCCACACTCCCAACACATACGTAGCACCCCAGCCTGGCCCGAGCCGCAGCATACTCAGCAGTCGTCTTTGGATGGGCAGCTACTGGGGGCGAATCCGCCGCGGCCGCCGCCTCCGCCGCTGCCGCCGCCGCCCGCCGCCGCCGCCGCGCCGCCGCCGCCGCCGCCGCCGCTGTCCGCCGCCGCCGCGCCGCCCGCCGCCGCCGCCGCCGCCGCCGCTGCCGCCGCCCCCGCTGCCGAATCGCCGCCGCCGCAGCCGTTGCCGCTACCGCTGCCGCTGCCGCTACCGCTGCCGCCGCCGCCACCGCCGCCGCCGCCGCCCCCGCCGCCGCCGCCGCCACCGCCGCCGCCACCGCCGCAGCCGCCGCAGCCGCTGCCCCCGCCGCAGCCGCCGCAGCCGCCGCCGCCGCCAAGTGTACTCTGTAGTGTTGTTTGACAGGGATGGTGGGGGGAGGCCGCATCGGGTTCGCTGCACATGCTCCGAACTTGGAGGCAGAGTATGCTTTGTAGGATTTTTGTTCAAAGGATGACGGGAGGGGTGCCCGCATTGTTCCTGGTTGGCTCCAATTCGCCTGGGGGAGGGGGTGTATATTAATAGGGAACTGATAAACCCCTCCCCGAGGGGGGAGAGGGTTTTGCGGAAGAGGAAAGAAAGACATCGTTAGACCACCTGCGCCCAGAGGGCCGGTGAGATTTTTGTTGATGCAGCTTTCTGTTCCGCAAGGACAAGGATCACCACAGCGAGAATGCCTACAATATCAAGTGCGTCGCACCTGGCACGGCAGACGACCTCGAGTACACGCCGCAGGGTGCTGCCTGCACGGAGATCGACTGCGGGCCCTTCGGCTACGTGCTGAACGCAGCCGCGGATGGTGAAACCAGATTCCTTGGGAAGATGGTGGTGACTTGTAACAAGGGTTACTCCCTTGACGGGTCGTGCGGCGACTCCTCGAAGATGGCCTACGACAGCTTCTGCATGGCCGACGGCTCCTTCAGCCGGACGGGCGGCTGCCAGCCAGTCCGCTGCGGCGTGGCCCCAAATGTGACCCACGCTGACCAGAACACGGGGATGGCCAGTTTGGTGTACATGAACACTGCCAAGTATACCATTCAGGCGGGATACACTCTGTGCGAGCAGGGCAAGAACCCGAGTCTGAACACATTCGATGTGACGTGCGAATCGGGGGGTGAGTTTGGGCCGACGCCGAGCATCTACATCATCCAGTGTGGCACGGCGCCTGAGAGGGAGAACGCGGTGAATCCTGGAGCAGACCTCAGTTACCAGGACGAAGAGCAATACACGTGCAGCTTGGGGCACACCTTGGACGGCCTGCCGTCTTCGGCCAGTAACTCCGGGTTCACCCTGTCCTGCAACGCGGAAGGTGGGCTCGACGGGCACCAGGGAGGATGCACCGCAGTGAAGTGTGGGTCCGTTGTGACACCCCAGCACAGCATGCAGGTAACGAGCGTCGAGCACGGCAAGAAGAGCACACTGTATTACCAAGACCAGGCGCACTTCGAGTGCGACCCAGGCTACTCCATCGACGCGAGGCTTTTGGGAGCGATCACGTACCATCAGACGTGCCTGGTCAACGGCTCGATATCCTACCATGCGGGGTGTTTCAACATCAACGACTGCGAAGCTAATCTTTGCGAGCCTTCTGGCACTTGCGTGGACCATGAGAGTCCAACAGGAGTTCATTCAGACGACTACCACTGTGAGTGCTCGGACGGCTTCAAGGAGCAGATCAAGAGTGACGGCAAGCGCTATTGTGGCAATATCCCCGACTGTCCAGAGGGCGCCTGCGAGCCAGGTAAGTGCAAGGATTTGGTGAATGACTACACGTGCGAGTGCCCCAGCGGCTATAACGAAGAGCCGAATCGAGGGGAAAACCTCGAAAAGGATTGTATGCCCCAGAGTTGTGGCAAGTGCGCAGACCACGCGTCGATCGCACATGCCCAGTGTCTGATCCCATCCCTTGAAAGATTCTACGACGGAGAGAAGGCCTCCTACGAATGCGAGACTGGCTACAGCCTGGACGGGACTGTGCCGACAAGCGCAGATAGTAAGGTGTTCGAGCTGGCGTGCCAGGCAAACGGCAAGCTCGAGGCACATCCAGGCTGCTTGCCAATCTGGTGCGGCGCGGCACCCAGGGTACCGAACTCCGACAAGGCGGCTAGAGCCACGCAGGTGAACCTCACTTACGGCCAGACAGCGAAGTACATCTGCAACGCTGGCTACTCTGTGACGGGCGACGCAGATGCGGAGAAAGATTTCACGGTCGAGTGCGATGCGCTCGGCAAGATCGGCCCAACCAAGTCATGCAAGCCCATCAAGTGCCCAGTCCCCAACGTCGAGATGCCGTTCGGGGAGCACGTGAGTTACCCCATCTCCGTCGCTGAGAGCTTGGCGTTTCCGAATGAAGTGGTGGTCACGTGTTCTGCTGGATATCTGGCTGCCTGCGGCAACCCCCCCGCAACCGCGCCAGGGCAGAAATGTCGTGCATGCGGAATGTCCCTGCCGAGCGTAAAACCATCCCAGTGCTGTTTGGGAAGCACCGCAGCTTGGGCTGTTTCAGGGGGGGCTCATTGGATGGGGGGGTAGTTGGGGCATCCTGGGGTCCTCGTGGGGCCCTCTTGGGGATCTCGGGGCTTTCTTGGGCGCAATGCGAGGAGGCTCGGATGAACCAGAACGGGCCAGTTGGGCGAGCCTTGAGGTTTTCGAAAACGATCAAAGCCACATCTGACAGCTAAGACGCATCCCAGCACTCGTGGCCTCCCAAGTGGGGTCCGAGTACATCGGGTCAAAGGACCACTCCGCATCGCCGATGCATCGGCGATGCGGCTCGATGTGGAGCCAGATTTTCTCAACGCCGACGTCGCCGACGCATCGGCGATGCATTGGCGATGCGGCGCGATCCGCCGACCCCGTCTACCCGGACCCCATTTAGGGTGCCTCTGGAGACGCATCCCAACGCGCATTCCAGCGTGCCCACGGCACGGTGTCGGACTCCCTGGACCCCCTCGACCACAACGACACGACGTTTGCGGTCAAGTGCGGGGCAGCCGGTGCCCACATCTTCCCTGCCAGGTCCACGTGCCAGCCGATCGATTGCAGCCCGCTGCCCGCCGTCCAGAACGCGGACGTCGCCGGCCACTCGACCTTCGGCCAGCACGCCCTCGCCACGGCGCACGAGTGCTGGTCGCTGGACGGCTCGGGGAGCGCCCACATGAAGGCCTTCAACGTCTCCTGCAGCGCCTCCGGCGCCTACGTAGGCTCGGCGGCGCGCCCACGGGGGGGGACGCAGAGGGCGGCGGGCCTGCTCGGGAGGCTCGAGAAGGTCCCCTGGCCTTCCGAGGAGCCTTTAGAGCCTTCTCCGAAGCCTCCCCACCCCAGGGTCCGTAGCCATTTTGGCTCAAGTTTGAAACGCTCCCCCGGCGCTTCGAACTTGGACGCTGCCAAGGGGTTGGCCCGAGCGTCTTGAGGTTAGGCCTCGCAATCTTCTCCAGTCGTGCGCCCAAGCACGCCGTGACATCTACTCTCGTGCTGCTCAGTCTGCCTCTGCGCGATGGCTCCCAGGGGTGTGAAGAAGGATCCGAAGGCAACCCGCGCGGAGAAGAAGGCAGCGAAGGGGCGGTTGTCGTCCAGCCCTCTGCGCAACACCTCCAGCAGCCCGTCGTACGAGCGCAGGAGGCCCTCCAGCCCGTCACCATCGAGACGACGTATCACTTCTAGTGGCAGCAGTGACAGGCACTCCCACAGTCTCAGTCGGAACGTTGACAGTGATGATGATGGTTTCCGCCAGATCTACCCGCGCCAGACCAACGTGATGAATATGGAAAACAAAATTGACTCCATCCTCGACTCGATCAAGAATCTTCCGGGAGTCGTCCACACCTCACACCAGGAGATGGCCCAACTCCAGCAGGAGGTTGAGATATCCAACAAGCGCTGCGCGGACCTCGCCACCCAGATGAGCTCTCTCGCGCACCAGGTTCAATCGTCATCTGCCCACGCGGACCTGCAGATGAAAGACTTACAGCAGCAGATTGACAATATGCATAGCAGGCTCTGTCATTGCGAAAGCACTCCTACGCCCTTGGGTGGTGGAGGGATGGATATGGACTCCCAGCCATCTGTAGTGCACCAGAGGATCAGCGCCATTGAGGACCAACTCTCCAAGATCACGAAGAGCCCCAAGCCTCCCAGGCCATCTTCGGAGACTCGAATTTCCGCCATGGAACGTGCGCATCGGATCGTGATTGTCGGTTTCCCCCGCGAGAAGATGCAAGCTACCCTTCGTACCGCTGCAGGCTTATTTCTTCAAGCTGGCGTCCCTCAAGGGCGACTTCAGCCAATTGTTCGTGCCTTTGATATGACTAAGAAAGTGACCTTAGACTTCGCGGACTCGACGAAAGCCTCGGACTTTCTGTCCAACATTGCCGCTGCTCAACCGATCCGCTACCCCGACCCTGTCTTCCCTGGCCAGTTCATCGAGCTCCGCGCCAAGAGGGACATGGAGCCTGGCACTCGCCTCCTCTTCCTTGCCATGGGCAAGATTCGGGGGCTCTTGGCGACAGCGATGCGGCCCCTTCAGAAGGAGATGGGCTCGAACGGCCTCGGCGGTGACATCTACGTGCTTCGTGCGCCCGAGGACCCCGTCATCCTTTTCCACGTCTCCATCGACAATAGTGGAGTGAAACCAGCGGTCGCACTTCAGTATGAGCCTGAACAGTTTGCGGAGTTTCACGCCTCTGTCAATCCCCTCCTTGATCAGATCAAGGACGGGGTTGCCCACCTGAACGCTTCGCTTCCCTTTTGAGGAGTCTCGAGGCGAGCCCAGGGCTGTGGGCGCAGCTGCCAGGTCACAGCAAGAGCTGTGCAACTTTGCTGCGAGCCCTGTCGGGCAAGTTTCCCCGCCTGGCCCCCTGGCTCCTTGCAGTGCTCCGTTCGCTGAAGATGTGCCCCTCGCTGTGGGTGCGGCCCTCCCCGTGCAGGTGCCCCTGCCTGTGGAAGCTGCGAGCCAGGGTCAGCCTCTTCGTAATCCATCTGTCGGGCCCTTCCCCTTTTTTCCCCTCCTCCTCCCTGAAGATCGGTTCTTGGAACACTCATGCTCTCTTTGCAGCGGTTCGCAGTCAGAGTGTCAAAGCCCCTGCTCGTTACGCGCGTTTCCTCAAGTACGCAATGCAGCTCGCTGTTCTTTGTGCACAAGAGTGTCATGGTCAAGCTGCTGATATCAATGAGCTGCAGTGTGAACTTCGAGGTTTTGAGATCGGTCACTCGCTACTCGCTGACTCTACTCGGGAAGGGGGCGTCCTCGCGTGCATCCAGCCATCCCTCTGCAAGTCGTTCTCGTCTATTGTCCACACTCCCATCGTTGAAGGGCGCATTCTGAAGTCTTACCTCTCGGGGCCCAATGGCGACCTCTGCATCATAAACGTTCACATGCCAAATACTAGCGACCTCCTCACCATCTATGCAAGAGCACTGCGTGACATCATCGCCTCCCTCCCCTCCCCCACGGCATGCACTACTGTTCTGATAGGCGACTGGAACTTTGCGCTGTCCGCTGACGGTTGTTTGAGAGCGGACGGCAGTGGATGGTCATCTGGAGATGACTCGCACGCGAAGCTTTTCTTTCGGCACAGCGCGCAGTGGACCGAACTGCACCAATCCGAGGACACAAGGTGGGAGGTCAGGGAATGCACAATAGTACACGCTGCACGTCTTGATCGAGCTTACTGCACGCTGCCGCCTGCGCTGCTGGCCGATATTACTGTCAGAGGGGAAACACTTGGACGGCTACAGTCGAGCATGGTCTCGGACCACATCCCCGTGGTTGTGGCCCCCAGCACCTTCAAGCCCCAGGGGGCCCCCAAAAAGCTCCCGAAGTGGCTGACCCGTCACCCCCTCTTCCGGGACATCCTGGATCCCGCGATTTCCGCCCTCTTCGCCTTGGACTTGAACCCCTGGGACCGCTTGGGCCGCATCAAGAACCTGATGTTTGAAGTCGCTGAAGAGGTTCGGCCACAATTAGCGTCTCAGCCGGCGGAGACAACGGAGGCCAAGCACTTCAGAACCCTCCAGGCTCTTCGGGCGTGGCGCGCTGGTGACGAGTTACGCGTGCGTCTCGCTGTTCGCTCTTATCCTGCTCTAGCCGCGCATTTTCCTTCCCCTGATCTTCGCGATGCCCACGTTCTCGCTCTCTGCCAGCATGCTCAGAATCTGCACATCACTTTGCTTGCGGAGGAAGAACGAGAGCTGGAGGCAGGTGCTGCGAATATCTCTGAGGATACCCTTGGCAGCGCCCGCAAAAAGGTCAAGAATCGTAAAGAACTCTGGAGGAAAATGAAGCGACGCACCTGGCTCCAGGGCACCCTCTCGGATACGGACGCACCGAGTTCCTCAGAGGCCGAAGCCGCCGACGCTCTTCTGCAGCGCTGGAGGGGAGTTTTTGCAGCCCCCGAGGTGGACACCTCGCTTTGGCCTGAGCTCTCCCGTTTCATCAAGCCGCTGTCTGTCCCTGCCAACGCCACCTTTAACGAGCTCCAGGAGGAGGGATGGATCCTGGGAGAGATTGAGTGGGAGGAACTGATACGCCGTAAGTTGGACAGCATGCCTGGGGAGGACGGCATTCCCTACTCTGCCTGGAGGGCACCTGCTGCCAGGAACGCCCTGTATGAGTGCTACTGCCGTCTATTTACCCACCCGACCTCCAGCATCCCCGATGACATGAAAAGTGCCATCATGATCTTCCTCCCCAAGAAAATCACTGACCAGGAGATCGGCGAGGGTGTCTTTCGAAAGCCTCAGGTCACGCGACCTCTTAGTATGACGAACACGGATTGCAAGCTTCTCTCTGCTTCTATTACTTGGGCTTTATCCAAGAAAGTTGCACTATCTAACCTGTTACGGAGTCCCCAAAAGTGTTTCAGGGGTCGGGACATGATTGTGAATGTTATTGAAGCTGAGCTGCTCATTCTTCGGAAGCATATTAAAGATCGGTACACGTCTGGTTTGGTCCTCACGGACTTCGAGTCTGCCTTCCCTTCGATCTTTGCCCCCTGGGTCCTGCACGTCCTGGAGAAAATGAAGGTCCCTGGTGCCGTTGTCAACTTTTTTCAAGGAACTCTATGACAATAACACTGCCACGATTTCGCTTTTCGGTCGTCTATTGGACAGATTTGCCATTGAACGAGGCGTACGCCAAGGGGACCCCAGTTCGATGCTGCTTTTCACTCTTGCGGTGGAGCCTGTACTTGCGTGGCTCGCCTGGCGCCTGCCCGACCACATTGAGCTCTCCCTAGCATATGCTGACGACTTCTGCTTTGGCATGCGGTGCCTGTTCGATGGGATAGGCCCTCTCTTTGAGTGCTTACGGAGCTTGCAGCCTGCTATTGGCCTCGCCCTCAACCTCCCGAAGTGTCAGGTCCTCCTCGCCTACCCCAACCTCAAGGAGCCCCTCCAGGACCTCCTCTCGGACCTAGGCCACCAGCTGGAGCTTCTAGAGATCGCGGTCTGTTTGAAATACCTTGGAGTCTGGATTGGGTTGGGGGCGGAAGAGATTACCTGGGAGGAAAACATCATCAAACTTCGGAAAAGGACGAGGGAGATTAGGGACCTTGGTTTGGGGCTCGCCCAGTCAACCGTGCTGTTTAAGGCCTACTGTGTCTCGCTGCTATACTTTATGTCGCAGGTGCACGCGCCCTCTATCTCGCTCATCAAGACATACCAGGCCTGCGTTCGCCTGTTGACAGCTGGCCCGAATAATGCCCTATCCTACGACATGTGCTGCAACCTCACCCAGCTCGGCCTCCCCATTGAGTTCCCTCACATCACCCTCGTCGCTGCCTCCTCCAGAGCCCGATACATCGCTAGATGCGACGAATTCCCGAGGCTGCGCCAGCTCTATGACAGTACCTTCTCTGACGATGATTGGTGCGTAGTGAGGCGGATCATCGGTTGGAATACCACCTCGTTTGCTGCCAAGCTCTTCTCTTTCAAGGACTGGATTGACCAGAAAAACCTGGAGATACGTTTTGAGCGCAAAGATATTCAGAAGCAGTATCAAAAACAGTTGAAGCTTTATTTCGTTCCCGCCGACCCCCCTATCCTAGCGCTCCTCAGAAGGGTGAACAACTGGATCCCTGGCACTTCCCTGGACTCCCTCTCCATCGTCCTTCATCGTCTCAAGCCCCTGGTGACCAGGTGCAACATGTACATCCCCCTGTCCGTGATTCGTATCCTGTCACGCTGCGTTTGCACGAGCTCTCGCTTCCATTCCTCACCTCGTGGTTGCCTCATGGGATGCGTGAGCTCCGAGGCCCCCGACTCCGACTTAGATGACATGAAACGCTATCTTCATTGTCCTCGTCTTCATCGATTATTTCAATATTGGATGGGTTCTTGGGCTCCGAAGATTCCTGAGGGCGCGCCCTGGCTAGCCTCCTTTCTTCTGTCTCACGGGTTGGGGCCCGACGCCAGCCTCCTGGCTGCTATGCTATGCGATGCTTTTCTTAGCGCACATACGGCTTTCCGCCTGCGCCTCCCTGGCTCGCCTCAGCAAAACTTCGAGGCGCGCTTGCGTGTGCAGGCCCGTCGCCATAAAGCCTGCCGCCAGCTCTGGGGCCGTCAACAGCTGGAGATGTGGGCTGGTCGGTAGGGGTTCCCCCCCCCAAAAAAAAAAAACTCCCCACCCCAAAGGTCTCCTCCTCCTCCTCCTCCTCCTCCTCCTCCTCCTTCTCCTCCTCCTCCCTCTCCTCCTCCTCCTCCTCCGCCTCCGCCTCCGCCTCCTCCTCCTCTTCCTCCTCCTCCTCTTCCTCTTTCTCCTCCTCCTCCTCCCCCTCCTCCTCCCCCCCCTCCCCCTGCCGCCTCCCGAGAAGGCCTGCCCCCTCCCCCCGGTGTGCCGCCGACAGGCGTCCAGGCGTTCGCCCAGATCTCCTGCGGCGCGGCGCCCTCCCTGGGCGTGGGCTACCTACGCGCAGCGGGCGAGGCACACGTCCTCTGCGGCACCTCGGCGACCTACCTCCTCGACGACTGCTACACGCTGAGCGCGGAGGGCACGCCCGGTGGGACGCGGCAGATCGCGACCGCCTGCCAGGACGACGGGAACTTCGCCGAGGCCGAGCCGGTCCACCTCATCGCGTGTGGGGAACCGCCGCCGCAGAAGTACGCCAGCCTCGCGGCCACCGCGCCAGCCTTCTGCGGCACCGTGGTGGAATACAAGTGCGACTACGGCCACTCCTTGGACGCGAGCCCAGCGGGACTGACCGCGTTCACAACGGAGTGCAGCACCAGCGGCGCGTTCGTTGGCGAGAGCAGATGCCAGCCAATTCAGTGCAAAGGGCCCTCCGTGCCAGAGAACGCCGAAGGGACGACCAAGGACGTGCTGATCTTCAATGAGACCGTGTCCTTCGTCTGCAAGCCCGGTTTCTCCACCGACGGGGCCTCCCAGAGCCGCCACACGATCGTGGTCGCGACGTGCCGTGCAGACGGCACCAATTCCTTCAATGGATCTTGCATCAACAACGATGACTGCTCGTCCGTCGAGAACGACTGCTCGCCGAATGGTGAGTGCGTGGACAGGGGCGAGCCCACCGGCGTACACTTCGACGATTTCAGCTGCAATTGCAATAGCGGTTTCGAGGAGGCCAGTGTTCTTGCCCCTCAAATTAGTGTTCCCCTTGTGAGTCTTGTCGCCAGCGGCATTGGTCCGCTCCACGGAAGCAACCGTTTTTCTCTGGATGGGATGTGTGCTCCCCTGGGTGTATGTATGTGTTCCCCCTCGGGTCGCGTGTTTGCTCTCTAGGGGCATTCGGGACAGGGCAGCGCCTAGGGGCATTCGCGTGTTTCCTCTCCAGGTGGAGGTCCGGGGCAGGGCAGCGAACCGCTGCTCCCGAGGTGCCGCAAAGGCTGCGCAGAGTGCCTTGGGGCCGTCCCCTCGCCTCCCCCTCCAAGCCACACCCGTCACCGCCCGAGGAGGTGAACGCGTCGAGGAAGTACTGCTCGAACATCAACGACTGTCCCAAAGAGGCCTGCCAGCCGGGTGTCTGCGTCGACCTGGTCAACGGCTACTCCTGCACGTGCCCGTGCGGATATTACGCCGCTGCGAACGCTGCGAATCGGTTGCCAGAGGATTGCCTGCTGCATACCTGTGGGCAGCCACCGGTTCTGGCCAACAGCGACGTCGCCAGCTCAGAGGTGTTCGCTCTCGAGTCTGCCAGCTATGCGTGCCACGAGGGCCATACCGTCGACGGCACGGCACTGGGCGCCACGACGTTTGCTATCTCATGCCAGGCTGAGTGCGGCGCAGATTCGGAGGCGACGAGCATTTGAATAAGGATTGGCGAGGTGTCTCGTGTCTCCGCTGGGCTTCCCTCAGATGCACCAAGAGCCCTCAGGATGGTTCTTGTGCAGACCTCATCTCCCAAGAGAGCCCACGAGCGCCCAAGAGCCCAAGAGGGGGCCCACAGGGCCCCCAGACAACCCCGCACCAGAGCCCCGACACGGATGTTCAGGAGGAGGTGGTGGAGGAGGTGGAGGAGGAGGAGGAGGAGGTGGGAAAAGAGAGCCACATGCGACGAAGTGGACTAGGAAGACGGGGGGGAACCCATCACCTGCCCAATCCCATCACCCCTTCCCCTGCCGCTCTCCTCGTCCTCGTCCTTCCTTCTGGCGTTCCTCCTCCTCCACCCTCCTTGGCAGCGTCATCATCGTCCCTCTCTTCACTCCCCTCCCTCCGCCATCCCTCCGCCTGCACCCTCCTTCTTCGTACTCGTATCGTCCTCCTCATCCTCCTGCCGTCTTGGGTGGCGTTGGCGCATGTGGCCTGTGCCACTGGAGCCTTCGGTGGAGCTCCTTATGGGGCCGCGAGACGCTGCCCTGGCTGGCGTTGACGCATGCGGCCTGTGCCACTGGAGCCTTCGGTGGAGCTCCCTATGGGGCCACGAAGCGCTGTCCTGGGTGGCGTTGACGCATGCGGCCTGTGCCACTGGAGCCTTCGGTGGAGCTCCCTATGGGGCCACGAAACGCTGTCCTGGGTGGCGTTGACGCATGCGGCCTGTGCCGCTGGAACCTTCGGTGGAGCTCCCTATGAGGCCACGAAGCGCTGTCCTGGGTGGCGTTGACGCATGCGGCCTGTGCCACTGGAGCCTTCGATGGATCTCCCTATGAGGCCACGAAGCGCTACGTGGGTGGCGTTGACGCATGCGGCCTGTGCCACTGGAGCCTTCGGTGGAGCTTCCTATGGGGCCACGAAGCGCTGTCCTGGGTGGCGTTGACGCATGCGGCCTGTGCCACTGGAGCCTTCGGTGGAGCTCCCTATGGGGCCCCTCGTCCCTCATCCCTCATTTGTGCTCCCTCCACTCGCTCCTCCTTGTCCAGCCTCCCTATCCCCTCCATCATCCGTCCTTCCAAGTCTTGGCTAGTGGAGAGCGCGTGTCGGCGTGGGGGGACAGCAGCGGGTGGGTACATGTCATGGAGCACTAACCCGAAGCGTAACTTCCGCAACGAACAAGTTGACTGCGCAACCCACGGTTCCCCGTTCATTAGGGCACGGGCCCTTTTCCGCATTATACGCTGGGCTCCAAGGCAGGTGTAGCCCGAGCGCGCGTGATGGTGCCCGTAGATAATACGATGCCAGCGCGTGGACCGGAAGCAGATCATTCGCGCATGCGTGTGGGATTCTGTGAGTATGTGCACGCGTGCGCGCGGAACCCTGTGTGTGTGTGTGTTGTGTGTTGTGTGTTGTGTTGTGTGTTGTGTGTTGTGTGTGGTTTGTGTCATCGGAATGTGTGTTAGCAGCTGGAGCCATAGGAGGTCAAGCCATCGGAGGCCTCGCAGCCGCCAGAAGCAGAAGAGTAGCCCACTGGGGCCAGGGAGGCGGGAAGCCACGGGAGGCCATAGGAAATCGAGCGTTGTAGGAGGCCTCGCGGGAGGCCACAACAGGGCAACCACCCATCGGCCCGACTCCCGCAGACCGTCAGCACAGAGTCCGATTTCGGGTACAATCGATCGCATCCGTCTCGCCCAGCTTCTCCAGGCTCAAGAGGAGGACCCAAACAGGACAAGGAGGACCCAAACACGACAAGGAAAGACGAATGCACGACAAGACAGAGACGAATTCACGACGACCGCCAGGCGCCGAAAATGGAAGGCGATCCGCTTTCGCCTCCCACTTTCGCTTCCCACTTTCGCCTCCCGCTTTTGCCTCCCGCTTTCGCCTCCCGCTTTCGCGTCCTGCTTTCGCCTGCATGGGTCGGACTCATCTTTCGTTGGCCCCGAATCCGAGTTCATGTTCGAGGCGGGCGTGCATTGCGCGCTACTGGTTGGAACTCTGGATTCCAGACATGGTGTTCGCATTTCGCAGTTGATTTATTTCGCAGCCCTCGCCCAAGAGATGGCTTCGACAGGCCTTGACTCGGGGCTCTGGAGGAGTCTGGGTAAGATGCGTCTCTTCTTCTTGTTCTTCATTTCCTCCGCCCTGCCCTCGCTACACAGTGCCGACGCAGGCGGTGTTCTCACCGAACGACCACCCTGGCTGCGAGAAAGTGCTGTGCGGCCCCGCCCCGACCGTCGACCACGCCACAAGCCCGCCGCAGGACGCCGAGTCCAGGTACTCAGGAAGACGATTATCGGGTTGGGAGGATGGGGTTGGGAGAAACGAGGATATCCTTACTCGCAGGCGGCCGAGGGTGTCGCCCATTGCATCCGGATACTATTGCTCATACCCTTTATCCTCCCAACCCCCTCCTCCACGACAGTTGTTCTCCTCAGGTACGGAGACTCTGTGATCTACACGTGCGAGTCTGGCTACACCACCGCTGCCGGCGACTTCACCTTCTTGAGCCTGGACAACGCCGTGCTGGGCAACGCCGACCCCCTGACCGGCGCAGAGGTCCTGCACATCGGTCAGTATGGCACCCCTCCGCGCTGGCTCGACGCAGTCGTCCAGGTGACGAGCGCCGCTTTCGAGCCGCCGCTGACCGGAACGCCTAAGACCCAGTTCTCCATCGCGGACGGTTTCGCGAGCTTGGGGTCTAATGTGTGCGTGGACATCAAGGCGACGATCTCTTTCCGGGACCACGAGACGAAGGAGCCGGTGACGCTCGGCTACTTCTCCGTCAGCGTGTTCGACCTCGACAGCCGGGCGAACGGACGAGATGGCACGCCGGAGGCTGTGGAGATTTTGACCACCGCTTGCGACGCGGAGGAGGTCATCACCGCTCCCGACGCGGACTACTCCGTGACCGACGGCGGCGGCGGCTGCCTCACGTTCACGTCGACTTCCGCCGAGGAAGAAAACCCGACGAACCCCAATGAGCTGACGGACGGGCAGAAGCGGCGCTCGGTCGGTCTGACCTACACTGACAAATCCAGCATATACCTCGGGATGAACTTCAAGTGTTCCGATTACTTCATTTCGCAGAATCCAAGTAAGGGCCGACAGTTGATGTTTTCTTTCGAGTCCTCGATGACGAGTCCATCGGAACGGATGGAGTTTGACGCAACGTGCGGGGCTGATGGCAACTGGGCGGGTGCTATGTCGTGCTCGCCTGTGCAGTGTGCCCCCTTGGATTCCAGCCTTGTCAAGACCCAAGACGAGTACGGCACGGTCGCTACCTACGACTTGGACCAGGCTGCCGCGATGCGGTATGGCTCGCCGTTGACGGTCACTTGCAGCACTGGGTACGTTGTCTCGCAAACTGGAGGAGTCTTGATCAACACGTACGAGATCCAGTGCGATGCCGATGGTCAATTGGTCGTGCCCAAGGGGCAGGAGTGCAGGCCTGTCGACTGCGGCAGTCAGCCGGAGCTCTCCAGCGCCTTTGTCGCTCCAGAGAGCACGGAAGGGCGCAGCATCACCTACGTGGCGCACTACGGTTACAGCACTACTGGCACGGCGAGCGGTGGCAAGGTGTCCATCAGCAATTGCACGCCGACTGCGGAGTGGAGCGTGCCCGAGGCATTCTTCAGGGTGCAGTGCCCCTCCTTCCCCGCCGTGGACCATGCGAGGAGCGCGAGTGAGGCAGCTGCCGTCACAGACGGGGCCATCTGTGACGAGGGGGCCATGTACGAGGAGCACGGTGCTGGCAACGAGCACCTGGAGGGCAACCCCAGAACGGACGCCCAGAGCACGGACCACTGCAGCCAGATATGCGTGCTGACAAGCAACTGCACTTGCTTCTCCTTCGACGGGGACACCAGGGGCAACGTCAGGGGGGATAGGCTCAGGGTGTGGCACGCATCGGCCCCCAATCGCTCATTGATCGCCGATGGGCGCGATGGCCAACCTGGCCCAGGAACATGCGGATTCGCCGCCGGGGGCCCATCGCAGAATAATCGGCGATGCACCGCCGATTCCGGCTCGAGGCTTCCCCCCCCGGAGCTGCCCCCCCCAACGTTGCCCCTCAGGACAACAAGCTTTGCTACTTGCACACCGCCTGCACCACGATGTCCTCGAGGTCTGGCGCGTCCTCGGGCCGGGCGGGCTGCCACGCGGCCAGCGGAGCGGCGCTGCTGCAGCAGCCCCTCGGCCGCGGCCCCGGCGAACACCCGGCAGCCACCCGCCGGAGGCTGGCGCAGTCCCAGCACGGGCGGGCCGCGCGGCACAGCGCTGGGCCGCCGCCGGCGCGGTGGCCGGTGAACGCCAGCGCCGGCAGGGCCCCTGCCCTGCACGGGTTCTGGGCGCGCGCGAGGTCCAGGCCCACCATGGTCGGAGGAGGAGGAGGAGGAGGAGGAGGAGGAGGAGGAGGAGGAGGAGGAGGAGGAGGAGGAGGAGGGGGAGGGGCAGGGGCAGGGGGAGGAGGAGGAGGAGGAGGAGGAGGAGGAGGAGGAGAAGGAGGAAGGAGGAGGAGGAGGAAGAGGAGGAGGAGGAGGAGGAGGAGGAGGAGGAGGAGGAGGAGGGGGAGGGGGAGGGAGGAGGGGGAGGGAGGAGGAGGAGGGGGAGGGGGAGGAGGAGGAGGGGGAGGGGGGAGGAGGAGGAGGAGGAGGAGGAGGAGGAGGAGGAGGAGGAGGAGGAGGAGGAGGAGGAGGAGGAGGAGGAGCCCAGGGGGTAGAAAGAGTCGGCGAAGGGCGAGGTCTGAGGCCACCATGGTTAGCCGTCGGGGAGGGCCCTCGTCGCCACGGCTGGGCGCAGCTCGGAAAGCTGGTGCGGCTGGGCCCCGGGACGGGCGGGCTTTCTCGGAAGGCTCAGAAGTCCCCCAGCCATCTTAGAAGTGTTTGAAGCCTTAAGTCGGGCCTGTCCCCCTATACAGGGGGGCTTTCGACGAAAAATAACAAATACCCCAAAAATATTACAAAAATAGTCCTAAAATGGTCTGGGTACCTTTTTGGAGTATTCTTGTTAACCTTTGTGTCGCATTTTTGTTTTTTTTATTTTTCGTCGAAAATCCCCATGGGGGACACGCCCGACATAATTGAAGCCCTCCCCGAAGAAACAAAAAGCTTCACAGAAGGCCGGAGGCCGTCTGAGAAGCCCAGCCGCCTTCTGCCGATTAGACGTAGGAGTGACCTTTCGCCGGAGTGACCTCTGGTGCGGGCCCAGATGGGCCCCCAGATGGCTGAAGGCGAAGCGGTAGCAGCGGCTAGCACGCCTGGATTTGGCCTCCCCGCGGCCCCCCCAAAGCCGCGCACCAAAGGTCACTCTTACCCAGGGTCACTCTTACGTGTAGCCGATTCTGAAAAGGCCTTCTCCTTCTAATTTTTCCTCCCTCGCTCGCCGCCGAGCCCCTGCCCCGACAGGAAAGAGCTGCACAGACACGCACAAGGCACGCGGAGGTCCGCGCGTAATTGTACTTTTCGGGTCGGCGCGGCGGGCCCCCATCTCCGCTTGGGGGGCGCCAGCGCCCAGCGCCGGCCCAAGAACGTCGCGCAGACCTCCAAGAGATTGTGCTCGTACCCCGCACACATCCCTCTAGGCCTTAGTGGGCCCCGGAAGCAACAGGGCCGTTTTTGTTACCGGTTCCGTTGTGCCGTTTTTTTGCCGGTTCCGACGCAGTTTTTGTTGCCGGTTCCGTCGCCGTCCTTTTACGGGTTCCCGCTCCGGCTCCAATCCTGGAGCCGTTTGTGTTACCGTTTCCGGTCGCCGTTTTTTTTTGCCGTTTCCATTTTCAAGGGACACTTTTTCGGAAACGGTGAAAAAACGGCACGACCGTTTCCGGGGCCCACTAAGCTCTAGGTCTCACATATGGAGTCGGAGCAGCTGGGGTCGGAGGATTCCGCCGCAACGGCTCGGTATGGAGCCCGATTTTCTCCACTCCGACGGGCCGATGCAACACTGACGTCACTGTTGCATCGCCGATGCGTCGGCGATGTATCGACCATGCGGCGCGATCCTCCGACTCCATCTACCCTGATCCCCATCTGGAAGGCCTCTAATCCTAGGCCTGGGGCTGTTTGTATTGTTAGTGGTGTGATGCTTCCGCCTCCTTCTCCCTCGTCTTTCCCGCCTCCTTCCTCCCTCCCATGCTCAGCTTCCCTCACGCGCAGACTACCACGACTCACACGTAAATCCAGACGCACCCATAACTAGACCACTCACCTTCAGACCGACCCACACTCAAAGTTGCTAGTCGCTCATACTCAGACTCACTCGCACTCAGGCCTGCTCATTCTGAGATCTGGTTGAACTCAGACTGGCAGACACTCAGATACACTCACACTCAGGCTCACACATTCAGGCTCACTCTCAGGCTCTCTACTATACACAGGCTTACAAACATTCATATGTACCCACTCAAACTCATATCAATCATGCTTAGACCCATCCACAGACAAAAACGCACTCATACTCATACCCACTCGGACTCAGCACTCAGAGTCATGGACACTTAAACTCCCTCACAGACAGCACCATCATGTGGCAAACGTCACACTTGGGGCTCCCCAGGGGCGCTGCCGCCAGGGGTATTACGTTGGCCCGTTCGCGCCCAGGTTGCATGGATCGCTCATGCGAAACGCTTGCTGTGGCCCGGTAAGCGAGTCTTTTCGCAGAGCCTCATGTCTACCGCGATGTATAGCAGGCATGGCACTTGTGCATCCCAAGGAGGAGCTGCCAGGTGGGATTACACGGGCCTGTGCGCGACCAGATTGCGGGGACCTCTCAGGCGAACCGCTTGCTTCGGACCACCGGACGAGTATTCTTTCATGGCCCTGTGATCACCGCGATGTAGCAGGCGTGGCACGTAGGCATCCCGACGGGGAACCGCCTGGGGGTATTATGCAGGCCCGTTCGCACCCATATTGCGGAGACCTCTCAGGCGAAACGCTTGCCGTGGCCCAGTAGGCGAGTCTCACCTCGAAGCCCCATGTTCCACCCCGATGCATAAAAGGCATGGCACTTGGGCATCCCAAGGAGGAGCCGCCAGGTAGTATTACGCGGGCCCGTTCGCGCCCAGATTGTGGGGACCTCTCTGGCAGAGCGCTCGTTTTTGTCCGGTAGACCGCTTCAGATCCCCACGGTCGCTGCGATGTAGCAGGCATCGCACTTGGGCATCCCAATGGGGGAGACGCTTGGCGAGACCCTTGAATGCCTACACGCACTTCCACTTTAGATGCCCCCTGGTGCCGTGCCAGCTCCAGCCACACCAACTCAATCTCCTTCACGCTCAGACTCGCCCAGACTCAGGATCTCGCAGAGGTGGAACTCGACGGAACATAGATGCGGAGGAGGAGGAGGAGGAGGAGGAGGAGGAGGGGGAGGAGGAGGAGGGGGGGAGGAGGAACATAGATGTGGATCAGGAGGAGGAGGAGGAGGAGGAGGAGGAGGAGGAGGAGGAGGAGGAGGAGGGGGAGGAGGAGGAGGAGGAGGAGGAGGAGGAGAGGAGGAGGAGGAGGAGGAGGAGGAGGAGGAGGAGGAGGAGGGGGAGGAGGAGGAGGAGGAGGAGGAGGAGGGGGAGGGGGAGGAGGAGGAGCCCCGCGCCGATCCCGCTCCTCCTGCAGGCGCTTCTCGCGCCACGGGCGCGCGAAGCAGGGCGCGGGGCACGCCGCGAGGGGCGCCGCCGCGCGGCGTGCCAGGGCGACGGGTGCCCGGACGGCGCGGGCCGCGGCCGGCCAGGCCGCCTGCGCTCTCCAGAATAGCGCCGCCCCTCCGAGGAGTCGAGAGGTTCGCCTCCTCGCTCTCGCCTCCCCTCCCCCCTCCTCCCTCCCTCCCCTCCCTCCCTCCCTCCCCTCGCCCTCGCCCCCCTCCCTCCTCCTCCCTCCTCATCGTCCCTCGTCCTCCCTCCCTCCCTCTCCTCCTGCCGCCAGGAAGGGAAGGGTGAAGGGAGCAGGGAGGGGAAGTGGGACGGAGAAGGCCGGAGGTGCCTTTTAACACTCGGCTTTGGCGCACGTCTCATGTTCAATCGTAGCCCCGGTGGGTTTCGGGGGCCCTCGGATCCTTCATTGGCCTCCCCCGCTCCTTCTCTTGCTTTCCTTCTCCCGTCCGCGCGAGGATCAAGGATGCGGCTTGACGTTCGATTTTGTTGGTCGTCGCCGGCGAAGCATCATTTGGGCTCGCGAGGCGTGCAGAGGAAAGGGACGTTGGCCGCGCACGCGCGTGCTCACCTTCTTCTCCTCGTTCGTCGTTATTTGCCCCCGTTGCTAACGGATACAACTAACGTATAGAGCTATTCGACCGGAACCCGGCCGCCTTCACAGGCGAGCCGAGGCCAATCTAAGCATGGGGTCGTTTGGCGATGCGAACATTCTATCCCGAAATCCAGGTCGACAGCCGAAGCAGCGCAAGCGCTGCAACTGGCGCGAAGTGCCCTGTTGAGGGTGGCAGGCATCGGTGAGCGAGGAGCATGGGGGAACAAAAAGCGACATAAACATAAAAACTCGGAGGTCCGCGCGGATTTCTCGGATCGGCGCTGGGGCCCCCCGGCGGCGCCTCCGGCGCCGCCCCTGGTGCGCTCCGCGCGCCAGGGAGGGGGGTCCAGCGACGATCCGAGAAATCCGCGGGGACCTCCGAGTTTTTATGTTTACGTCACCTTTTGTTTCCCTGAAGAAGCCTTGGAGCCGTCATCTCCAACGAACTCTCTGGTTCGAAGACCTCGGGACCAGCCGCTACGAAACAGCAGCCGGCTGGGCACGCACAGGTCGCAGCGACGGGTCGTGCCTCCCAGGGGCTGGCACGTCCCGCGCCGCGCCCCCGTGGCAGGGCGGCTGCGGCGGGGAAGCTTGACGCTCTTGCAACGGGGTGGCTTGCCCCGGGCACGGCAATATTCCGTATGGGGCCAGAAGATCGGGGGCGGCAAAGAGGGGGGTGATGACTGGGGGGGGGGGATATCATGGCGGGGGCCATGATATGCCCCCAGATCTCAGGGCGCCTCTTCTTGCTTCATTACGTCCCTGGCCCCCCCGCTGGGCCGCGCACATGCCGCCGGTCATGATTTGCACCACCCCTCTTGGACCCCCCCCTCTTGGCCGCTCCCGAGAAGAGAGGGTTTTAAGGGGAACAAAAGTGACATAAACATTAAAACTCGGAGGTCCGCGCGGATTTCTCGGATCGGCGCTGGCGCCCCCCGGCGGCGCCTCCGGCGCCGCCCTTGGCGCGCTCCGCGCGCCAGGGAGGGAGGTCCAGCGCGGATCCGAAAAATCCCCCGGACCTTCGAGTTTTATGTTTATGCCATTTTTTGTTCCCCTCAATAGTCCGTATGGGGCCAGACGAGAGGAGGTTTGCCCCGTACCCTGCCGATGCAAAGCAGGGTACTGATGCTCCAGTACAGCCGGGGCCCTGAAGAAGGAACCCTTTTCGTTGGGGAGGGGCTCGATGTTCCTTAATTGTTCCACACCTTGCCCATGGTTTTCCTGAAGTTTTTGGCGGGAAGTCGAAGGTTAACTTATGGAAGAAAGGGGCCTCGCTCCTTATCTGGGGTTCCTTAGGTCAACGCCCCGACTGTAGCGAAGTCACCTGAGAGCACCAGGGCGCCCTGCCCACTCGACCAGGTGCAACCGGTGCCGCCACGAGGGGTCGAGCAGCAGACGTCTAGACAGAAGGCGGGGCTGCGAGGACGGTCCAACGCAGTCGCCGTAGAGAAATCAAGAACCGTGTCAACGGCCGATCTGCTCCACACACTGTCGGCGGCGAGCGAGGGGGGGAAATGAGAAGGAAAAGGCCTTCTCAGAAGGCGGGGGGACTTCTCAGAAGCCCTCGCGACTTCTGAGAAGTCTTCTTTGTCTTCGGGGAAGGCTTAGAAACCTTCTTAGAAGGCCGGGGGACTTCTGAACCTTCTAAGAAGGCCTTCTCCTTCTCACTTCCCCCCCTCGCTCGCCGCCGACACTGAGCCAGCAGATGGCCGAGATGCATCAGGTGCAGAGCAGAATGCCCGAACAACAGCAAGAGGCAACCCCCAACGGATTGCGAGACACCTTCACGGAGTTCGCGAGCGCACCTCAAGCGCAGAATGCCCAGATTGTGGCACGTTGGCATGATCGGCGGGCCATTGAAAAAGGAGCCGACCACGTTCTGGAGCGAATCGGTGTTATAGAGCGCGCAGTACAAAGACATGATACACTCGAGGCTAGGGCTGTCATGCTGGAGAATCCCAACTCTGGGTTAATTCAGCAACTAGACCGTGCTGCTTCTTAGTGGACACAGATTCGCTGCGAAACCAACGACATCATACCCAGCATCCAGCAGGTGGCCAAAGTCCTTCGCCTTACTCCAGGAAAGATCGGACAGCACTCGCGGACAGCGCTCCACCGCAGGGCTCATTTCGACTATAGGCTTACGCCGCATCCGCCGACCCCTTGCATTTTTCGGGGGCGCGGTCCTTCGGACCATCTTTCACAGACGGCAGGCGCTGGTCCAAAAACTGGAGGAATGGTTCTTGAATGGCCTGCGGTGCTGCATCCCGCCACCGTGTCTGGGTTGCGGGCCTGAGGGCGCTCGGATGGCCGCGGCGATGCGAGGGCGCCCTGGACGCGCGCATTTGTTTCATGGGAGACCGACGGATGTTCCGGGGTCGCGGGCGAACGGCGCACTGTGGCGCGGAAGCGCGCGGTGCTTGAAGGGCGCCGAGGCAGTTGCGAAACGGGCTGAAGTGCGGGGGGTGCAAAGATGAGCGAGAGAAGGGGACGTTCGCTGCGACGTCGCCGGGAGACGCGCGCTTTCGCGGGGGAAAATTGGTAGGCACCGTCGCCATCTATGCGGATCAAGACATTCGTTGCCGCGCCGGGAAGCAGAGAGCTGCGCGGTGGGCAAAGGTACGAGGCGAACAGCTGCTCTGGGTCGACCGCCCGTGCCAGGGCGGGGAACAGAGACGGCCGCGCACGGTGGCGGACAAAATGCGGTGGCTGGGGTACCGCGACAAGGAGCGCGCAAGCTCGCCAGGGTGGCTACCGCTGGCGAAGGGGATGCCCGTCGCTCTGGGGGATCACTTGGATCGGTCGAAGGAGCAGCTGCAGCGGAGGTGCACGGCGACGATCCATGGATTGGCGCTGCACGAGGACGAGGTACTTTGTTGGACTTTCATGCGGAGGAGTGGCGCCCTTCAGGCTGGGGGCCACGCCTGCGTCCAATCTCCCCATCGAGAGGGCGGCGATGGTTCTTGGGCGGGTATCGGAAGCGCCCTGCATTGAGTGTGAAACGCGCCCAGTTTATGATCATCTCGTCTTTGGCAGTGGCGGCGCGCTCGGTGCAGGGCCGGGCCATGGGCAGTCATGGCGGACATTGAGAGAGGGCGCGGCGCGAGTTGGATGTCGATTTACATTGCCATCGCGCGCGCGGGCGAGGGGGCAGTTTGATCTTCTGGCCTTTTGATAGGAAGCCGCGCGACGAAGGCGAAATGGCTGGCGCGGAGAAGCCTCTGCAAGTGCTCCGAGGGAAGAGCGTGGATAGGGGCGGGTGGGGGGCGGCGCTAATTCCGCGAGGTCAGCGCGGGCGGTGCCGGCGGAGGTTGCTGGTAGATGCGTTCGCGAAGTGCGAATTCTAGGGGGAAGAAAGGCCCGCGTTTTGGAAAGGAATGCGCGGTGGAGACGAAAAGCGCGGACGAGACATGGCGCAAAATGCGCGGAGGATGGACAACCAAAGCGGAGGGCGACGTCCCGGCTCGGCACGGCGGCGACTTGGGCGTTGCGGGGCATGGCGACGGGGAGGGGGCCCACAAGATGAGGGCTCTGTGCCGCGCGAAGTGCCAGGAGGTCAAGTCGAATAACAAGTCGCGTAGTAGGGGCGCGAAGTGGAAAGAGAGAGAGAGAGAGAGAGCAAGAGAGAGAGAGAGAGAGAGAGAGAGAGAGAGCGCCTGCGCAGTGCGATGTTCAAACAAAACGTGCCTTTCGTTTTGTTCGCGACAATGCGGACATGTCGGAGGCGCAAGAGAGAGACGCGCCGCGGCCGGGGAAGGACGGCGCCGGAGATGCGCCGAGGCAGAAGACAGGGCGGCGCGAGAAGCAAATGCAGAGACAGCGAACCGCAAGGGGAAGGCAGAGGCGGAAGCGACGTCGTTGACACGCTGCGCTCCAGATTGCGGGGTGTTTTTTTGGGGCGCAGATCATTTGGCTCGCAGCCGGGGACCGCAGCAAGCGCGGCAGAACGGCGCAGTGAGCATTCAATGAGTCACAGCGCCTGCAGCGACTGCTGACGCGCGCGTCCTGCGAGAAAGAATTCGCCCGGCAGGAGCGCATCAGCGACGATCAAGTGAGTGAGCACTTCACATGGGAGGGTAAGGTTGCATGCGCAGATCGCTTTGCCGACGGGTTCACGGTGCGCAGTTGGCAGGCCTGCAAGCGCAGTGGCAAATGCCAGAAGAAATTGCCGAAGTCGGCTTTCGCCGTGGACGGTGGCCACGTCGCGCGCGACGCAAAGAAGGGCGTCCTCAAATGCAGGTCATGTAAATCAGATTCGTTTCAGCGCCAATATCATCACGAATAGCGGTCCAAACAGGCACCCGCGGTGGAGTGTAGGGGCGTTTCGTGGAGGGTTTCGCGGGGTGTTTCGTGGAGGGGTTCGTGGGGTGCTTCGTTGGGTATGCCGTGTAGTATATCGTGGGGTGTTTCGCGGGGCGCTTCGTGTAGTGTTGGCTGATGTGTCTTGTGTTGTGTTACGTTTGGTATTTCGTGGGGTGTTTTGCGCGG